AAAAAAAAAAAAAAAAGATTATTATATTTGCTTTGTAAGAGAAGAAAAAAAAAGAAATAGGAGGGGGGGGGGGGAATGGAAAACCAGGGAAGGGGGATGGATCTGAGAATCTTGAAAGAGAACATGACTGACTGATAGAAATCTTGCAGAATGTGTTGTTAAAAGCCCCATTTCTGTACTACCTAATCCCCCCCCCTCTTTTTTGCTCTATCACAATATATCAGGGGTAAATGAATGTACCTCTTTGTGTGTGTGTCGTGTGTTACATGTAGGGGGGAAGCAGGACTGAAGATCAGTTAAGTGTTTTCATGGAATTTGCCACAAACAGTTTTGTGAGTGTTAGGATTTTGGATGTCATTGCCTCTCCTGATACCTTTCAATCCATGTGCTAAGATCAACTGGTGAAGACTCACTGGCGGCCCTTCACTTGGTTCACCTTACAATGCAGGGGCCAGAATTGTCTCACGGGAGAGGTATAGCTAACTACCAGATTGTCTCTTTCAACAATCACTGAAGACATGCCTGTTCACTCAGGCATTCTGTAGGAGTAGACTGCCTTCAGTTATCTTTCTGAGTGAATTTGTTTTGAGTGAATCTTGTTTTAATTTCTGTGTTTTTATTGTCTTCTAGAATGGTCGGTTTTATTTTGAATGGGTTTATTTAAGATGGTTTTTACTTTTCTTATAAACCACTCTGAGTACTTCAGAAAGAAAACCAGTATAGAAATAAGATAAATATTAAGAAATAACAATAGTATCTTCATTCCACAGTTCTTGACGTGCTGGAAATAGCAGGGATATCTGATGGAATCAGAATGTGAATAGAAGCTCCTGTGCAATTTGAACCCTACTAAAGCAGAAACCTGCTTCCAGCCTTCCCTCTTGGAGAATACAGGTACTCCTTGGATTATGACCACTCGTTCAGCGACCATTCAAAGTTACAATGGTGCTGAATGAGGGGGACTTACAACTGGTCTGCAAAGTTGCAGCCATTGCAGTGTCCCATAGTCACGTGATCGCCATTTGCTACCTTCCCTGCCAGCTTCCCACAAGCAAAGTCAATGGGGAAGCTGGCAGGAGATCACTCCCGCTGCTTTTTTGCCCATCTGCCTGTGCTCTGTAGTGCTTGTCTGTGACACCTGCCCACCCCCCATGCTCCATAGTGTCTGCAGCACCCACCCACCTGTGGCACCTGCCCACTCACGCATGCTCCATAGCGCCTACCTGCAGCACCTGCCTGCCCACCCGTGGCACCTATCCCCTTGCCCACGCTCCATGGCACTCACTTGTAGTACCCTGCCCTCCTGCCCCCCTCGGCCTACTTGCCTGGAACTCCTACCTTTTCCCACATTGTGGTCATGTGAGGTCCTTGCTTAACAACCCACACAGTCCTCAGGTTATGATGGCAACCGGGACTGCCGGGTTTGTCATCACTGAGCAGTGTGGTCACATGATGTCACACTTTACAACTGCATCACGTAGCAATGGAAATTCTGGTCCCAATTGCCATCATAACCCAAGGACTACCTGTAAGGATGGAGACTAAAATTAAATGGATGGAGATTATTTATATGTGGGCATGCTGTCCTCTTCTTCCTCCTCTTCCTCATGATTATTATTGTTGATGTTATTTGAATTTATATGGCCACCTATTTGAAATGACTTTTAGCCTATTGGAATCTGTGTTGCCTAAGATACATATCCTTGATGAGTATTTTGGAATGAAGGCCTGAGACACTTAAGCTTTTAACCAGAAACTCAGCTTGGTGATCTGGGGTTGTTCCATCTCTCTCTCTCTCTCTTAGTCTCGTTTATTCAGCTGTTGTATGAATAAAGTGGAAGTTAAGGGAAAAAACCCATGTGCTTCCTGAAGTCCTTAGAGAAACAGTAAAATCAAAATGTCTTTAGTAAAATTATTCAATAATGTGGGATTGGTTTAAGGCCTCTAGAGAGCAGCTCCTGGGGCTTTCTTAGATGAGATCTGGATCTCTTGACTATGCAAGTGAGTATAGAATTGTTTTTAATTGTCTGGAATGAAAGTATGTAGAGAAACTAGTATACTTGATGGGAGAAAATATATTGAGAATTATTCTAAATCCTGTAATGGTTTGCTTTTCTCCTGTTCCTGCATTTCTTTGTCCCAGTGTGGGTGAAGAAGATTGCACCAGGTGGGACATCTGGCTTTGGAAACTCGGATGTTAAAATGGTCTCATTTTACTGTTATTGTATTGTTCTAAGTTGTATCCCAGGCTTTCCCTCCAAGTTTTCATACCACAGGTAGTCAACCTGCCGTCCTTGGCCTAACTTTGTCAGCCTTCGTGAGGGGAGGCGGGTTAAGATTTATAGCAAAAGTACTTTCTCTCTCTTCCAACAAATTGCTGGGCTGAAAGAAGAAAAGTGTTGGTAGAATAAAAGTGGCAAATGGAGGGGGACACAATGGAGAAAGAGACAGAGAAAAGGTGGAGAAAGAGACAGAGAAAAGGTGGAAGAAGAGAATAAAAAAGTTTTTTTTACTCTTCTATATATGTGGGATGACCTCTCTTAGGCCCCAGGGCCACATATGGACTTTGAAAGCCTTGTGTGTGGCCCCTGTATGTCTTCAAAAGTTGTCCTCCCCAACTGTAATGCTTAATGGGAGAGAAGGGGAAAATAATTCAAAGACAGGAATACCATTAACAGCATTTATTGACTATTTACAATTAACACTGATTAACTCAAATTCAAAAGTGATCCTTGCTCACCCACTCCTTTGTCCTGGTCCTGTCTGCTTTCAAAGTGCAGCCCCTGGCATGCCGGTCTGTGGCCAATACAGCCCTCACCTTGAAAAAGGCTGCCCTGTATATTACTGGGCATGGCAAAGACTATGTACACCCACGATCTGATGGAAAACATTTATTGTCTGACAGCAAATGCAGGTCCCTCTAGCATCCAGGTCCAGTGCAGGGGGCCAAAGGCAAAACAAAATTCCAGAATTGACTCTTCTTGAGAGAAAAACAAAGAAAACTATGGTTTGGTGCTCTTTTGATCTACTGCCTTCCTCTGCCCAACAGTAGAGCTAGCTCTGATGGGAAGTTCTTCATAGTGGCCCAGTGGCCCATCGCCTTGGCAACCCACTGGTCCTTTCCCTTGACAACGCTGAGCCTGACCACTTGTGGTTGCTGTGGCAACAGCTCTGCTGGTCTCGGCCTGTTTGCTCTCATTTCAGGTCAATGGCAAGAGGAGGGTCCCTGTCTTGCCTGCCATATCCATGTCTGGAAATAGACCCACAGTCATTTAGTTCCACACCAAGATGTTTGTCTGCATTTTGAAAGTGTTTAATGATGATGCTGGATCCTGTGTGCCTTCAAAGGACACGTCTACTGAGACTGGCCTGCAGATAACACGTTGTGTTGTTCAGAAAAGGGACATTTCTTTGCCAAGTAAGAACTTTGGATGAAAACAGAACCTGTATTGCCTCCTTCCTTCCTTCCTTCCTTCCTTCCTTCCTTCCTTCCTTCCTTCCTTCCTTCCTTCCTTCCTTCCTTCAGTTCCCCTTTGCTCTGAGGTAGTCTGCTAGTTTCTCCACCGACTCGACACAGACACTGGGGTACATGCCTTGGCTATATGTCGCAACCAGGATGAAGTTTCTTGTTTTAACCAGTATCACTCCGTCATCTTTTGCTTTAAGGTAGATGGAGTTGTCATCCGCTCGGAAGCATTTATAAAACTTGTCTTTGAAGTACAGCCCTTCCTTTCGAATTATGAACATGTTGTTGTAGAAGGCTTGGACAAAGGTTGTGGCCGAGCTCTGAATATTAAAGCCTGGAGTTGTTGTCATCACGCTCATGTCAGATATTTTGATAAGGGCAGCGCTGGCTACATGTTTTGTCCTGATGAGGCCTTCAAGCAGCAGACTTTGTGCCTGGTTCATCTCCCTCTGCGTTCGGTAGCTAAGGCTTCTGCTTCTCCTTGAGAATGTAAACAGTTTAGTTGCCCTGGTTTCTCCCAAGGAATTCTGGGAGCTGTAGTTTATGAGGAATGCTGAGCCCACACTCTCAGCAGTAGGCTGGGTGGAGGGATAGGGTTACCTCCAGCCTCCTTTATGGCATTCAAAGTTTGTTTTGTTGTTCGATCTCTTTCTTTTTTAAAAATAGGGATATAGAGCAAAATGTGCAACAAGATTTTTTTCCAACCAATTTGAAGGGAGAGGGGAAATCACTGTGTGTCTTAACCTCTGTGTCTTAATCTCTTACTGACTGCACTGACGTTTGAATGTCACTCCTATGCCCCTTCCCACCCTGGCTTAAATATCAACTGTACCCCAAAGAAAAATGACATTGAATTCATCCCTAAAAGATTAGACTAAATGAATATATCAGTTCCTTTATTGGAATTTCAGCAAATGTAAGACCCCCCCAATTATAAAGTTAATATTTTGTGGGGAAGGGGGGACATCGTTTTCCTTTCAAGTAGATAGGATGCCAGTAACAAATCAAAGATAAAAAGTCAGAATGAAACCTATACTAATCTTGAATCTTTTATAACGCTTCAAAAACCTGCAGAATCCAGTTGACTAGAGACAAAAATGAAGTAAAACTATTCTGTTTTTCTTTAGTGCTTCCATTATTGGTCCTTAGAAGTGTCATCCACCAAACAGACATTTCACAGTGTTTGTTCTTAAATAAAGCCATTTAAATCTGTAAGCAATCCTTCTGAAGCCTGCAAGTAGACCAGTTGGGAAGTGCTTATTGAACAACACCTGACTGGTTTCCACACAGGTCCTGAAACCATTTGGTAAGCTGGTTCCCTGGGAGATGAGCCTGTCTCTGCCTGCACAGCTTCCAAAAACAGAGTTTTCCTTTTATAACCGAGAAAGATCTGGTTTCTTGCACTCCATGTGTTGCTTTAGCCAAAAATATACAATTGTTCCCTCTTTGGGAATATAGTAGCTTCCTGCCTGGAGATACAAAAAGTTTGGTAAGGGAAAGGGAGAAAATAAACATCAGAAATGAAAAAATAAATAAAAATTATGAGGGTAAAAACCTTAAGAAATGATAACATCTCAGAAGTTGATCAAAGTGACTGTGTTTCATGCTGAATTTGTTTGGTGAACTAATGGCAGTAGAAGTAAAGAAAGAAAACAAAACTGTAATATAGATTTTTTTAAAAAAGACTTTCATATACTGTATGGGGGAAAGTTTCTAGTCTAATATTCTCCTTGACACACAGTTTTTCTGTTTCGGACAAAACATACAATTCATTAAAAGGAAGTAATTGTTTCACTTTATTCTGCTTTGGTTAGACCTCCCTTATAAGTACTGTGTCCTGTTCTGGGTATCATGCTTTAACAAGGATTAAAAAAAATATAGAAAAGATTAAGAAAAGGGCAGAAAGGATTATCAGGAGACTTGAGACCAGAAGTGTCTGCAGGGGTTGGAGAGGCAAGATGACAGACGCCGTCACAGTAGGTAATCCTTGCCTTACAACCACAATTGGGACCAGAACTTCTGTCACTAAGCAATGGGGTCATTAAGTGAGTCACACCGATTTTATGACCTTTTTGTCATGGTTATTAAGTGAATCACTGCAGTTGTTAAATGAATCTGGCTTCCCCCGTTGACACTGCTTGTTGGAAACTCCCTGGGAAGGTTACAAATGACGATCATGTGACCCCAGGACGCTGCAACCATCATAAATATATGCTGGTTGCCAAGTGCCTGAATTCTGATCACATGACTGTGGGGACACCACAACAGCTGTAAGTGTGAGGACTGATCATAAGTCACTTTTTTTCAGCGCTGTTGTAACTTTGAATGGTAATTAAATGAATGGCTGTAAGTCAAGTACTACCTGTACATCCAGTGGTGTGCTGGTAAATGCATAACCACCAGCTCTGCCAGCTCCAAGGCTGCCACCATGCAATGCTGCTAGCCACCACACAGCTGCTCAGCACACTAGACAATGCAGCTCAGCTCTGCTCTGTTCTCAGCCAGCTTGCAGAGTTCCAGAATATTTAACAATTGGGTCGCATGAGCAGATACAAGCTGGCTCCACACACTACTGCATCATCATCATCATCGCCATCATCATCACCATCATCATCATCTTATCCCACTTTTTAATATTTGGTCAACTCAAGGCAGCAAACATACCTGATAATCCTTCCTCCTCCTATTTTCCCACAACAACAACCCTGTGAGGGTTGGGCTGAGAGGCAGTGACCGGCCCAAAGTCACCCAGCTGGTTTTCATGCCTAAGGCAGGACTAGAACTCACAGCCTTCTGGTTTCCAGGCCAGCACTTTAACCACTACACCATATAAAATTAGGGTGGGGTTTCAGTTGTGTGGTTGCACCTGCAATCTTGATTTTTTTTTAAGTTAACCGCCCTTCCCCTGAATGCTCATGCTTGAAATGCCTTTGAAGATAGTTTGAAAGAGGTGAATATGTTTAGTCTTAGGAAAAGACAACTGAGGGGGGACATGATAACACTCTTCAAATACCTGAAAGGATGCCCTGTTCTCTTTCATTCTAGAGCAATGTTTCTCAGCGTTGGCAACTTTAAAATGTATGGACCTCAGTTCCCAGAATTCCCCAGCCAGCATGCTAGCTAAGGAATTCTGGGAGTTCCCTAGCTAGCAAGAAGGCAAGGGCAAGCCACTTCTGAAAATGTTGCCAAGAAAGCTACAGAGACTGGTCCAAGCTGTCACCAGGAGTCAGGACTGACTTGAAGGCAAAAAGAGGAAGAGGAAGAGCAGCTTAACAGTGAAACCCATAAACAGAGAGATGCTAGCCTTCCCTTCACTGAGTGTGTTCAAGCAGAAGCTAGACAGTTACCTGTTGGGGATCCTTAATTTGGATTCCTGTTCTCAGCAGGGGAGGGATTTGAAGGCCAAAATGACCCCTTCCAACTCTGAAAAGAAGCTTTGAAGTCTCAGTTCAGCCACAGTCTGGGATATTTTAATTTGGATTCCTGGACTGAGAGGAGAGTGAACTCAGTGACTTAAATAGCCCCTTCTAACTCTGTGATTCTATAATTTAGCCGCCTGAAACCTTTGTTCTGGTTGTCTGAAGTGGTAAACACCAGCAACTGCTTGGCTGTGTAACTGAGAACTGAATTTTAAAAGAATTTTTTAAAATGACATCTCATTTGTAATTAATAGAGCAGTATTCGTGAACCTTGGCAAGTTTAAGATGTGTGGACTTCAACTCCCAGAATTCCCCAGTCAGCTGGGGAATTCTGAGTTGAAGTCCATATATCTCAAACTTGCCAAGGTTCAAAAACACTGCAGTAGAGGAACACAAGTCATATTTGTCTGAGAATAGCAGAGGTAACAGATATTCACTTATTAAAAATATGGTTTTCGGTGCAGTTCAATTTGAATGGGGGACACTGCTGGGGTGGAGTGTGACTAGATGCATTTAAAAGTGGAAGGGGCTGTAGCTGGCATGACTGTGATGGAAATGAACATGGTGGCATTGTGCATGTGGCAGTGTTGGGATTTTCTGTATTTTCCTAATTTCTAGGAGGGAGTGGAGGGTATCATTTCCATTTTTTAACTGTGCTACAAAACAGAGTAACTCAGAGGTCATATGTGACCATGGACCTGTAGGCTGACCAGTCCTGGCAATATTCAGCTGGTGTCTGTGACAGAATAAAAAGTTTCATGGCAATTTTTGAATTGTGTATACTTCAAAAAGTATACTTTTTGATGTATATTTTTAAAATATATTTTTAAAGTATATTTTTGAAGTATTTTGAAATATTTCAAAAGTGTATATACTTTTAAACATACACATACACATGTACATGCTTTATAAATTGTGAGTGTGTGCATGTGTACGGATGTGCACCTGTATATAGAGAGAGAGAGAAAGAAAGAGAGAGAGAGAGAAAGAAAGAGAGAGAGAGAGAAATTAGATGTATAAATGATTAATGAATTGTGGGAAGGGGGAAAAGCTTATGGTCGAACCAGTGTTGGCTTAGCTGCCATCTTTCTGTGCAAGCTGCAGAAATGGGACAACTTGTGGTAATTTATTTCTCTTTTAGTTTGTTTCTTTCATCTCTCACTGCTTGTGTGGTTCCATTTAATCATTTTAAGTTTAGAGTAGCATGCACTCTTCACCTATTTTATCTTCAGAACGGAATTGTAGAATTGGTTAAACCAACAGGTGGTTATAGTCCCATTGTCACAACAGCAAGAAAAATATTTGATCCTACATCTCCCTAGTCCTTGTGTGACACTAAACACCAGCCCACAAACATTGGTGAATGTGAATAATGACATTTCACAAACAGGTAGGGGAAAGTTGGTTACTTTTCAAATGGTTATAATAGTCGTTGCTTAATGTCTTCCTCTCCATTTATACATTGACACAGATCACATATTGCAATAAGCCTTTTTTTTTTCTTTTTGTCTTAGCGTACAATATGAATTCACCCATTCAGGTTATGTGTGAACCAGACAGCTTATGGATTATTCAACAAACTGCGGTTAAAAATTGGAATGCTGGGATAGAAAACTGGAACAAACCTGGAAAATACTCAAAACAAATATTTCATTGCTCCTACTTTAAAAACATACATACATACATACATACATACATACATACATACCCATCATGCTATTCCCTTTCTGGGTAAACAGTGTCATGCAAAACATAGAAATGGAGCAAAAAAAAAAAAAAATAGAAAAAAAATTAAAAACACAAGATGAATTTAAAGAAATTAAAAGAAACTAGAAATATGACATGAGAAAAAAGAAAAACACAAGGTGTCTATAAAGTCCTTGTGCAGTTTTAATTGTTAATAACTTCATTTCCATATAAGGCATAAACAACCTATAAAATGCATCAGAGGGGGGATTTATTTAAGATTCAACAAATTTATTGGTAGGAATTTCAACATTTCTACCAATTTTGAAGTTCTCCAA